GTACCATGGACTGCTAGGAAAACAAACAGATTCATCCTGGAAAGGGTTAAACTGGGCGGTTCCTTGGAGGCAAGGATTCACAGGCTCCGTCTAACATACTTTGGACATGTTGCAAGGAGGGACCAGTCCTTGAAGAGGGACATCATGCTTGGGAGGGTGGAGGGACAGAGAAGGAGGGGAAGGTGGATTGATTCAGTGACTGAAGTAATCAGGATGGGTGTATTGGAGACAGTGTGATTGGCACAGGACAGAATAGAGTTTAGGGCTGTTGTACGTAGGGTCACTATGAGTTGCAAGCGACTTGACGGCACATAACAACAACATATAAATGTTGTTTATACTTAACAGATATATAGTTTATCTGATGGAATTCACATAAGGGAAGTTTTTGGGGTCATGTTTGTGTGTGTTGCTGTTCTTTTTCCCCCCAAAAGCAGTGTCAATTGAACTTCATAGTGAGGGGTTGAGTTTGAGGGCCCACTGGAGCCTCCCTCTATGAGCTGGCTCCTAGCATCTGATGGGGAAGTTTTTGGAGTCGAGTTTGATGTGTGTTAATATTCTTCCTCCCTCCCCCAAAAGTCATTAATTTTAGAATGAACATTCTTTAGGAGATACAGCAATCGTTTGTCTATTTCCTGTACTGAAAACCTTAGAGTTGTTGTGATACTGAACACAGTGCCATAGTCGTGTCAAATACCATAATGGTTACCTGCCATGCACCACATTTGGAGGAGCTTCCAGATTGTTACAGGTTGGGAAGCAAAAGTGACATCCAACTGTTGTAGAATGGGACTGATATCAGGGTTGGGGTAAGACTGAGAAAAACTAGATAAATTATGTATACTGCATTGAAACAGAGGAGAGAAAGAATAATTTAAAAGCGATATATGATAGGGTATTATAGTTATCACAAGAGTCCAGTATTAAGGGTGCATGGTGGAGTGTACCTGGGGCAGTGGGAGGGGTACGAGGGGATTGTATACCAAAGAAAAAATTTTTCTTTTACTTTTTCAGAGAGAAGCAAACTGGGGGCGGGGGGGGTGGTGCGGAGGCTGGGCAGGGAGAAAAGTGCAACAATGAATGAATGGAAATCCAAAATCTCTGTAAATGTTCATTGAAATTATTAAAATATTTTAAAAAGTGACATCCACTTCCTAAACTAAATGCCTCTGGAAACTCTATCAACTCTATAAATGTACAGAAATTATGTTAGTTATAGAGCAGAGTTCAGGTCTTTTGTGCAAGGGTCACTATAAGTATTGTTCAACATGATGACCCTTAACCACTGCTTAATGAGACTAATGCTGTTTTATCTGGAGGAACACTCTTCCACTTTGCACATCACTCTTTGTCAGTGTGCTAGATGAGGTAACATGGGTTTGCTATGATGCTGAACCTTGTGCCATTGGAATATCAAATACCATAATGGTTTCCCAATGTGAACAGTGTTTGGTGGAGCTCCCATTGTAAAGCAGGTTTGGAAGCAGGAGTGGCATCAAATTCCAAGAAGTTCTCTGTCGTTCTATTCATTTCTAGGTAGTTTTAAGCATAATTTTGCTTGTATGTAATATTAATGATATTGTTTGATAATTTCTGTACTTTGTTATCTTTCTTTGGAATGAGAACAAATATAGATCTCTTCCAGTCAGTTGGCCAGGTGATTGTCCTCCAGATTCTTAGCACACTTGGTGAGTGCATACAGAGCAGCATCTGTCTTTTGAAATATGTCAATTGGTATGCTGTCAATTCCCGGGGCCTTGTTTTTTGCCAATTCTTTCAGAACAGCTTGACTTCTGCCTTCATCACCACAGGCTCTTGCTCATACATTGTTTCATGAAATTCTTCTGTGTCTGCCAATTCCTTTTGGTATAGTTAGTCTGTTTACTCCTTCCATCTTTTAATGTTTTCTGGATCGTTTAATATTCTGCCCAAAACATCCTTAAGTATTTCCTTTCTCCAGTTCCTTCAGCTAAAGACATGCTGAGTAATTTCAGCCCTTTTCATTTCCTGACTGCCTCTTGTTGCACATTTTATTATAACACTTTACCTTGTCTTCTCGCACAGTCCTTCGAAATCTTCTATTCAGCTCCTTAATTTCTTCCCTTTGCTTTGACTCCTTGGTGTTCTAGTGTAATATTCAGAGTCTTGTCTGACATCCATGTTGGTCTTTTCTTCCTCCTCTGTCTTTGTAATGATCTTTTGCCTTCTTCATGGATGATATTGTTGATATCCTACCACAGCTCACTTGGTCTTTACTCATGGATACTCAAGGCCTCAAACCTGTTGCTGTGATGGTTTTGAAATTTGAGTGGGATAGACTCAAGGTCAAATTTTGGTTTCTGTCGATTTCATTTTCTTTAACTTCAGCTTGAACTTGCATATGAGTAATTGGTGGTCTGTTCCTCTATCACCACCTGGTCTTGTTTTCACAGCTGATATTGAGCATCTTCAGAGATTCTTTTGAGAGAAGTAATAAATCTGATTACTATGCATACCATCAGGACAAATCCATGTGTACAGCCTGTGTTTGTATTTTTTATAAAAATGTGCTTGCAATGAATAAATAGGTGATGGTACAAAATTCAGTCATTCTATCTCCAACTTCATTTCTGCCACAAAATTCATGTTTTTCAACTACTGATCCCTTTCATCTCTTCCCAACTTTTGAATTCCACTCTATTATTACTGAGTCTTGATTGCATGTTTGTTCGATTTCTGACTGCAAAAGATGGTATAAATCTTCTATTTCCTACTCTTTGGCCCTAGTCGGGCCAAATGATTGTGGTATTCATTGGACTTCCTTGTATGCATATGGATATTATCTTGTCACTCACAACATTGTATTTCAAGATGGATCTAGAAATTACTTTTTTAACTATGAAAGCAACCCCACTTTTTCTAACCTTTTCTAACCTTTTCCTCTCCAGCATAGATCATATGATCATCTAATTCAAAATGTCCCATGCAAATTAATCTCATTTCACCAATACCTAGTAGGTCAATATTTATGTGTTCCATTTTTTTCTTAAAAATGTCCAATTTTTTTACATTCATGCAAATGTCTCTGCTATAATCATCACACTCGTCCTCATCATTTCCCCTCTGGTTACTACACAATCCCTATAGTTGTTTCATTATGTAAACACTATGAGACCAACTGCTTCCCCATCTCACTAACGTAAGGCCTGACTTTTATGTTAAAGCCCGGCATGTATATCACACTTGAAGTAAACTACCCAAGAAGTGAGAGCATCCTTTGGTAGTCCATAAGCTTTATGTTATAAGTGATACCACATAGGTTATCAGATATCAACTGGGCCCATAGCCATATTTTTTTCCGTAATTTCTCCCTCCATTGTTAACCTGCACAGAAATACAATTAACAATCACAGATACCATTTTCAA